GGATGTGTGCACACAGACCATAGGCAGAAATTGGATGGTGCCTGCAGCTCCGCTTACCACTCAGGTGTGAGAAGGCAAAGGGCGCAGTCTTCTCCTGGAGTTGAGGGTTTTCATACATATATTCTAGTCTCTGTAAAAGTCTCTGTTAAATTTTGCTCCTGCAACCTCTCCTCTTTATCACGTTCAGCCTTGCTGTGGATTGCTTCAATATTCTTTGTAACTGGGTTTTCATATCTAATCAGTGAACTACTGGATAAACGATGCAATGAAGGACACTTTTCGCTTCCATTTGTGAAAGAACTGTGAGATAGTTTAAAAATACCAGGCAGGAAGAGAAAGGAGGGACAGCCTTGTGTCATAGGCAGATCTAGCCTCTTGGAAGAGGATCCAGAATCTGTGTGCCTCTGTGGATTGAGGCCAGAGGGACTGTAGCCTTGAGCTGCAGCATCCTGCAGTGTGTGAAACACTGGTGAAAGCTGGCACGTGGAGTATTCAAAGGAATCTTTCAAACTAAACTAATGACACACCAAAGGTTTCTGGTACCACTGTGCTAAAACCCCTGAAAAAAAAAAAAAATCCCAAACTGCATTCTCAAAGCACCACTTTTCTTCACTCTTCAGCTACAATGTGCTCCAGCTATGAAGAATCACAAAACCGTGCAGATGACAGACTGCATGGCCCTGTCTTCTGAGCTAAGCTAGCCATTTTGACTACTATGGAGGAGGCAGAGGAGTGCATTGACTGAAGAATGACTTTTTAAATATGGGACAGGTTTTAAATACCTGGATTCTTTCCAAAACCCAGATTAAGCTTATCTTCAACTCTCCAATCTCAGTGATTAGTATAGTTATGTATTCTCAAGGACTACTGAAGTGAAATAAGCTATTATTTGTATTTTGGCCAGAGTTCTCCAAGTGACCAAGCATAGACTCTTCAGTAGTTTTAGGGAGCCAGGTATGTGCAGGTGTTTAAGCTGCTATGACTCAAAGATGGGAAGGAAGCATTTGAAATATTCCCAAATCCGTAAGGAATGTATGTGTGTTTCCCATTGATAGCCACTTTGTTAGCATTGGCCACTATGTTTAACAGCTACTGTGGAGGAGTTTTTGCTAGGAAGTCAGGAAATTGGTTGCTACAAAAGTTGCTCACCTTCTGTGTGGTAGCCTCCATCCAGCTTTTTAGTCCAGAGAATCTGACCTTGCACTCCTGATGTCCCCAAGAGCACCATAACCACTGTACAAACTGATGGTGGATTCAAGGGAAGAGAAAGGAAGAAAAATGAGGAATGTATAGAGATGCAGGGGAAGAAAAAAGAGTAAGCAAGAGAGGAACCTAACATTAAAACCTTTTGAAAGGCGATTTCCCTAGGAAGAAATGGCGATTTCCCTAGGAAGAAATGGCTTCAGTCCTGGTCCCTGCTTCAGGTTTTGCTTGTAGATAAGGCAGTAAAGAGTTATTGATGAGGAGACATGGACAGGACTGAGATCACATTCAGCTTCAGCAGGGAGGGTGGAAAGAGATAAGAACACCATCAAGGAGACGAAGGTTTGAACCCTTCAGGTTGAGGAGGACCTGGAACCCTACTGTTCCTAACTCAGGGAGAGTTGATGAAGAAGAGGAAGCTTCCTCCTCCACTTCGGAAGAGATCTGTTATAAATCCATAAAGTGTGGTGTGTCTGGAGAAGGCTATCAGCACAAAGGGGCAGCGTTTTGCTCTGTGTGTAGGAATTCACTGAGCTGTCTCTAGTGGGCACTGATATTCCTGTACAGTGTGAGGTTGCAGAGTGCGTTCTCTCACTTCTAGGAGCTTGGTCACCTGAGTTAAGCAGTTCAGCTGACTTGAGTCCATGGTTAGCTCCGCCACTAAGAGCTGTTGTGAAGAAAGCTGGAGGCAAGGGCCTGCCCCTCCTTTCTCTTGGACTTGCTGCGCGAACACTGGGCTGAGTCTGGCTGTGATCGTTGTCTCTAGACCCAATTCTAATCTGACCTTACCATCACTCTCTGCTCCCATCTCACCTTCCCTGGCCAGAGTGCCAGTCAGAAAGTCATTGGCAGGAGATCAGGCCCTCACTTCCGTGTTCTGCATTTTTTGAGATCTTCAGAAGTGCCATCTGTCTTGATTCCTTACAGAATCTGCCTTTCTGACTTTGGCACCTGGAAGGACTAAAAACTTTCAGGTTTAGATATTGCAAATTACAGCCCATTAAACAAGTAGTTTGAAACTGGCCCTCTGTCTTCCAAAAAACTTGTGCATTGCAATACTGAATATTGCAGTCCCTAACATTCGGGTACTTTGAGACACAAAATAGCCTATAGTGCAGCTATGACAGAGTAACATAAGAAAAGGGGGGTTTCCTAAGTAACAGGAGAAGCTTCAGGTGAAAATGTTGGTATCAGCTGCTTTTCAGTTTTCAGTGGCTTGGAATCATCTTATACAGTGAAGAGGGAGTGCTGGTGCAGAATTGAGGAACTGTGCTTTCTTTAGACAGAAAGGTATTTAGGAAATAAGAGCTAGGGTCCCTGGCCTCAGCCAGCCTTACTTCTTGGAAAGAGATTGGTATGAATAAGGTAATTCAGATAACTTTTCCGTTGCCTTAATGCATTCATGTTGCTGGCAATATTTTAAATCCAGATGAAATTCCAAATGAGATGCAGAAAATTGAACCAGTAATAAACTACACTGCAGACTCTTGCTTTTCCACTTATTAAATTAATTTTGCAACCTGAAACAAGACAGAGAGCATGGCAAGTGTAGTAAAAATAGGTATAAATATAAGATGGGTAATTTAAAAGTTCATGCTTTTTATAAATTGCCTGCATAATGACAGTAGAAAATAACTTGCATTTCAAAGTGTGTATGCATATATATATCAAAGCGGAACAGTTATTTCCTTTTTTGGTACCTGAGCTAGCATGTTCAGTAATAGCATGGATTAAAGGTAATACTGTATACCTATGCCTTCAGGTACCTTCCAGCATAATGCCTTCAGGTAATACTAGATGTGATTAAGTTACATTAGTTAATATTGGATGTGGTTTATTTAATTGCAACTACAAGATTTCACTAGAACTTGCAAATATTTTCACCTTGGCCATAGGAACCCCTGAAGTTTATTTTTTCGGAACCTTTACGTGTTCAGAATTTACAAGCAAAGCAGTAGAAATGGGGCTGTCAGATAACGCTACTAAGAGCCAGATTCAAAACAAACAACAGCTCGTGTAACAGGCTGTGGACTGTTGAAAAATCCTTGCTCTTGGATATTGTTGATGCAAAAAAATTTAATCTCAATAGGAGAAGTACAGGGGGGGGAAATTGCGGGTTTTTTAACTAAAAAAAACGCATCAGACTTAGAAAATATTTTGGGCTGAGGCTCATTAGAGGCTGAGAGAATACTTTTCTGGAGGAAGTTACTTGCCCTTGCTAGCTCTTCCCTACTCATCTTCTTATGGCTACTGTGAAGAGACAGGATACTGCTGAAGAGACAACCATGCTCTCAACAGCTGTTTTCATGTGTTTCTAAAGGTTTCCACAGAAAATGTACGCATACAAAAGTAAGTTTTCAATTAGTCTTTAGGCTGCCAAGGAAAAGAGGCAATGCTAGAAAACTCACCTGAGCTATCCCAGTAACTGAAAGGGCCAAAGGCAGTACAGTAGCTAGTCTGAAGTTTTCAAGAAAATAATGCCCATTAAAAGTAAATGGCTTTTCAGACCAGTTGTTGGTCAGAAAAATATGATATGATCATCAACTACTTCCTCATTAATAAGGAACTTCTGGGTAATAGCGATTGACACCTTACATCCTCTGATATTAGTTCTGTATACAGTGGGTCCAGTTACTCCAGTCTGTTTTTAATTTAGGAACAAACAAATTAGTATCTGTTTTCTCTTTAACTCTTTCATTTTAAGTCTCTCTGTTTCTCTATAATCAATATCATAGTAGGCTCTAGGAGTCTAGTCTGTTTTATTGTCTTAGGAGTTTGTCTTGCTTTGGGACTCCCAGCACCCAGGGAAGTGCCATTTGGGAGGACCAAAACTGCTTCCAAATGACCTGCTCTCTCCAGACAGGGCCCGGACATGCCTTGTAGAGGTGTTAGCTGGAGGAGAGGGTGCATTGGGAGACACCCGTAGCTGTCTCAGTGCAGTACTTCATTCGGGCCTTGTTACATGAGCCACTGAGCCCAGATGAGTGCTGTGAGCTGCTGCCTTGGTTGGGGTCCCTTTGTGTATTCATCCTGTGGTGAGGAGATGCCCAGGCTGGCACAGTGGTTGCCAATGGAGAGTTGATGCAGTTCCCTGCTGTGGCAGTTGGGATCTGTTCAACCACATGTTTGGGGCAGCAGTGATAGATAGGGAAGAGCCTGCTTTTTGGTGTGTGTGTCCTTCAGCTTTGAAATTCCCTTCAGTTCCTTCTGAGAATACCACCAAACCCTTCTGGGGGTTATCTAGAAAGTTGGGCTTTGGCAAGATTTTGGTGAATGGTTCAGGGGAGTAGTGGTTCTTTTACAGACATTTAGTAAAAGCACAGCGCTCCTCCGTATCTGGAGAGCTTCCTAGATTTCACATATACAGATAAATAATACACTTTTTCTGAACAGTTGTTGGTATGTGGGAAGAGGTGCTTATTAGTTCACATAATGCTTACATGTAGTCAGTGAGCCCTTCACTAGTAATCAACAATAAATTGCTGCAGCTTAGGATAGACATATAAAATAGTGATTTAAAGGAAAAAATTAACAGGAAAAATACACCTATTACCTCAGCAAATAAGATGCAAGTTTTAAACTTTGGTATTATATTTGTATTGTGTTTTTAGTTGATGGCAGGGATGCCTTGGGTGGTCTCCTGCGTTGTTTAAATCATGTACATAACTTAGAATTAATGCAGTCTTTCTCTGATAATCAGCTCTCAGTTCCAGAGTCAATGAGTAGGATGTTTTCTCCCTCTGAACGACAAGATATCTGTTCTTGCTCCACTAGCATGTTCTTTTTCCTTTCTTCAGTCCCACTCTTGCCATGGCCCACAGGAATCTGACTGGGAGCTGTAATGTTAACTGTGGATGTAAGATTCATGAGTACGAGCCTGTCTGTGGATCAGATGGAATAACGTATTTTAATCCTTGCCTAGCGGGCTGCATCAATGGTGGAAACCATAGCACAGGGGTAAGTGCTTCACCCACCCACCCACATACAACCTGCGAGTAGCACCTCGGGACTAGTGCAGATCGAAGACTGCTGTGTTTCTAGCTCAGGCATCCCCCCTCTAAGCTTCAAAGAAGTTGCTCTGTAGCTGCCTCGTGCATAAGTATCTCCATGTTTTGAAAGGCTGGTAGTGCTACTCTTGCATGGTCCTACCCCACAAATTGGAGGCGGCACAAGTTTGTTTGTACCAAGTGAATCCTCCAGCTGAGTGAGCATGAAGTGCCCCAGGCTAGGGAGGGCTGCTGTTCCCAGTGCAGCCTCTGAAGTCCCCGATGGCAGTGGCCTGCGTGTCTGCTGTTCCTGCAGGGCTTGGAGAGGGGATCTTGAGCCAGCGTCATCTAATTCAGCTTTCTGCTAACATGGGCAGCCCTGTCATACTGTCTTTCCACAAGCTCATCGGTGTTACTCTTAAGAGCAGTTTTGGGGTTCTTTTGGCTCCCTTCCTGAATGCAAGGAAGAACTTAACTCTTCAGTGGTTGGAACTGTTTTAAACTCCTGTTTAAATTTAGTTACAGCCTGTTTAAAGTCATTGGTGTTTGTGTCAGCCTTGTCATTTTGCATAAGCTGTTGGACCTGCACTAGCATATTGATAGGTCTTCTGTTTGCGAGGCTAGGTAAAGACTGCCCATGTATTCTGCTCTTGTAAAATAGTTTGGCCATTTTCATAGCCTGTCTCTAAACCTTTTCCAGGCTAAATGAAATAGTTGTCCTTGAATTCAGGTAACCAGAACTTAAAGAATGTTAACAATCCACTTTTTTTCTTGGAAATACATTGCCTGTTACAGCCCAGTCTTCCAGTTATGCTGGACTGGGGAAGGGCATCCTGATGGTAAAATCACACAACAGAAACTGGCAATTTCTAGGACTGGGCACAAGAACACAGTTGAAAAGTAGAATCTGACCTAAATATCAACAGAGCATTATGGTTATTCTCATTTCGTACAACAAATGAACTCTTAAATTTTTCTGTTACAGAACTATCCTTTAAAAAAGGATATTTAAGTAATGAAAATATTGATTTTCTCAGGACCTGACTGTGCTTTCCAGAAAGCATATTTATAATATATCAGTCTCCTGATTTGCAGTCCTGAGCAGCCTGTGAAGCAAGGGGATGTTTGATCCAGCACTGTGCTTTCTCAGGTTGACTGGCTAATGGTCTGAACCTGCAGGTTCATACCTAGAAGCCACTGAGAGCAGATTAGTTTCCTTTAATTTTTTTTTTTTTTTAAGAGTGTGTAGAAAATTGCTTTGGGCCAATTGGTAAAGCCTGTGATGTGACCCTGTGGTTTACTGTCATTGTCTATGTAAGTCTTAACTGTGCTTTGCTGGATTGAGACATAGGTTTGATCTTTGATACGTCTCACCTGATATCAAACTGGCACTATTAATTTGTTTAGTAGGGAGGTACTTTGGGAGTATGTGCTCTTCACTACAGATTTTGAAACGTACTATCTCCTCCTACAATTTACAAAAAGATCCTTCATGGCCTGAAGTTTTAACTCAGTAGCTAATGGTGAATAAAATAGGGCTGACATTGGTAGGAAAATACATTTCTTCATTAAATAATGCTTTATGTGGGATATTTTTAAAAACAACAAATGTAAGCTTGTGCAACTGTATAACACAGAAAATGTTGCTAAGCTATAACATTTGTATTTAAGTTTATAGCATACAGTGTTTTCAAAATTAACTATTAAAATTGGAAGTAGGAGGAAAGGATGCCAGTGTACATTTTGTACCTGTTTCATATATATTCCCACACTCTAGAATTTCTGTTGTGTCGTGTCTGTTTCATTTAGTACACAGACTTGGTTTCTCTGGTGATGAACCAAGACTGTGTAGTGAGGAGGACTATTTTCTGTAGGATGCCTATTTGGCATTTGCATTTGGAAGCAATAAGGAGATTAAGGTGAGGGACTACTGTAGGCAGAAAGCAGATACGCGTGTGATACTAGAGAGTGGATTTCTGCCTTGGAAAACTGGATTCCGTCATTGCCTTCGTTCCTAAGCGATGTTGGGCAAGTCACTTATGCAAAACTTCTCCCAGTTCGTCATTAATCTTGTATTCTTCATATCCTGGATGGTGGACATGAGCAATAACCAAAAGTGCCCTTTGTAGAAGCACCGAGTGCCTAAATTTGTATCTGAAGGCAGGAAAAGTTACTTTTAGAATATACTAAGTTGTACATAATGAAAAATGTTCTGAAAAAAGGATCCCGATTGTCTCAAATTAGTCACCCACGTTTGTGAAACTTTTGATCTGTTTCAGTTACTTAGCTACCAAATAGAGATAGCAACATCAGTGCCTCATCTCGTAACTGTTTTGAAGATAAGTTACTCCTTTTTGAAAGAATTAAGCTATAATGGTGAGTGTGATAGAAAAATCAATATGAAATATGAGTCATTCTGTCTTTATAGTGGAACATGTGAGGGAAAAAAAATACCTGGAGCCACATTTTGAAAATGGGAGGTAAAATACTGGATAAATTGATATATTATTAAGATGTTCAGAGAAATCCCATGGGAAAAAAATGTGAGGCTACGTTGTACCATGAACACATACAAAGGTATACTTTAAAGCTGACAAGTAACCATAATTTGGATATTTTCTGATGTCCAAGTGCTTAAATTTGCAACCTTAAGATGTTGTAATGTAGCTTCTGTGCATGTGTGGTCCTAGGTTTTATGAATATCAAAAACTCCTTCCTGTAACATCACAGGGGTCCTGACCTGTTTCTTCTCTAGTGCCGAAGTATTCTGATCTGCTGCACATCCTTGGCCATTAGATTAGTTGAAAATAGTAATAGAGTAAAAGTGACGGGGCTATTTCTGATCTAGCTTGTCCACCTTGCTCAAGTCCCGGTCCTCTTTGCCTATGAAATGCCACTTCATCCTAATTTCAGCCTCTTTGTCTATTCAGGAATCCCTCATGTCCTCCAGCCTCACTGTTGAAGTCTCTGCTTTCCCCTTAGTCTCCGATTTTGCTCCTGTCTACATCCCATCCACATCCACACTCACATCCAGCTGGAAGGTCCTGGGCTCCAAGCATGGAGTGCAGCGTGTTGCTCTTCAGCTGAGTCTGGGTAGACTTCCATTGAGATGGCAGAACACACCTCCTGAATATGAAAGTCAATGGCCTGCCAAATTCCAGAATATGTCATTGTTGGTGCTGCTTAAAGAGTCTTTCCTGACAGTTTTTCTAATACAGTAGAAACAAACTTTTTCTCCAGCCTCCCTGTCAGAAGTGATGGAATTGTTTCAGCAGAATTTTCCAAAAATATTCCAGAATTTTTTTTAAACTCAGCCTAAATAAAGCATGGAAAGGCAATCTCATCCTGGCCAGCTTTAACAATACTTGGAGTGGTAACTTCACTTGTACTTGGGGTAATGATGCTAGAGGCAGAAGATTCCTGATTGAGGAGTACCACTGGACTGTCATACCATGTCTCTGCACAATGTCTTTCTTGCATGGGTTTTTTATGTGAAAATGTTCTTTATCGCTCTCCCCAGGTAAGAAATTACACAGAATGTGCCTGCGTCCAGAGTCGCCAGGTGATCACTCCGCCGACGGTGGGCCAGCGCAGTCAGCTCCGGCTAGTTATTGTCAAAACGTATCTGAATGAGAACGGCTATGCTGTTTCTGGGAAGTGTGACCGAACCTGCAACACGCTTATCCCATTCCTGATATTCCTCTTCATCGTTACTCTTATAACAGCATGTGCCCAGCCGTCAGCCATCATAGTGACACTCAGGTCAGAACTCAGTTACAGTTTTTAAAGTATTTTTGCTGCGCCTGCTGTCACCAGTGTCTGTGTCAGAAGAGGCTGGGGCAAACTCCTTTAAGCTTGCGTATCCTTAAAAAGTGAATAGAATAGGGCTGACATGGATGGGGTGGAACTTGCTTGTATTTAGAATATGTAACAAGATAATCCACTTTAGGAAACATGAAGTGCCCGGTGATTTGCAGGCTCTATAAAGGGAGAACAAGTAAAAGCATCATGTAAAAGAAAATGATTACTCCTGAAGAAATTTTCAACCTTCTTAGAGCAATGGTTTGGATTTTCAAATGCAAATGAAAAAAAGTTAGTATTTGAAATTATTCTTTTCACTTTCTTAAAATTGTTCATTCCTGCCACATGCCTGTTTTTGAATCTTCCCTTTATTTCCTCACAAGAATTTTGAACGTCTGCTCTAGTTGTAGTGTTGTCACTGTGGTCATTTAAGGATAGGAAAAAACACAGTCTTTGTAGGGCAAGGTAGTGTCATTTATTTGTCCATTTGAAAAATGTGTTCGGGTTTTTGGATTGACTTTTCCCATCTCTGCCATCTGATCTGCTAAACATTATCGCTCCCTGTAACATCTTTGTCCATTTAAAATACAGCTTCTGTAAGGGAATTTCAGTGTTTGAGATGCTTTTCAGAACCACATCCAAAATGATCCAGGTGCTTCACTCTGATATTCTGAGACTACTGATGTTCTGCTGCTGCTCACAATTAGCCACTTCTAAAAATAATAATGGCAAATCTTTGTAATAGGTCATGAAGACTTAGAAAACATGAGGCAGATCAGGACTTGTCTTTGCTGTCCTTAGGCTCAGCCATGAGCACAGCTCTGAAACCCTCTGACAGAAATCTGTGTCTCATCCCCAGCAAGGACAAGCACTCTCTTGCTGTCATTTTCTCAGTTCAGGTGGCTGAGATTTATGCAGGAGCCTGCTGCTGACACGTGGAGGACTGCTGTGTCATGTGGTGGAATTTGTTTTCCAATTTGCTTTTCAAAAAATCTCCAAAACGGGTGCAAGGATCACTGTTAGGACTGTGAAGCCAAGCGCTTGGGAGTGGGCACATCAGACTTAAAGGTGCTCATGCAGCCTAAGTTGAGCTGAGGCTCAACTACTGTGTGCACAGCGCTGTTATAATTCAGACTTCTGACCTTATTCCTTTTGTCTCCGTGTTTTCCACCTGTACAATAACAGCAACAACAACAATTATAACAATACTACCGCTGTCATCACACTGCAACTATGCGAAGGTAAACTATTGCAGTGAGCCTCCCAACAGCGAGATGCCTAAGGGACATCTCCATCAGGATTTTCTAATGTTCAGTAAAAAAAAAAGGATGGCCCACACACATGCGCAGTGACAACCACTGTCCCAAACTACATGTTGTGAACAGCGCATTGGTCCAAGATTTGTGGCCTAAGCTGGTTCTCCGATTTCTCAATTTCTGAATGAGTGCCTGACGTCAAAACCTTGATCTTACAACTGCACTCCTTCGACTGCAGTCTTTTTGTGTGGTTTTATCTTATATTGCAATGTCATTAGAAGCTGCCTATCTTAATTTCAGACCTTTAGGTTAAGATTTAAAAATATTTCTAATCAGAAGAAAATTTGTGGTTTACTGAAATTGTAGTTGTATTGTGGAATATCATTATGTTGTATTTAGTCTCCTGAAAGCTTGTCATTTTTCCTTTGAAACCAAAGGAAGAAATCTTGTATGATTTGTATTGAAAAAGAACATTATTTAAGTAGACTGTTTGGATGTTTCTACTGATATTTTTCCTAAAGTACCTCCAAAGTGCTTATGCTACACAGAGATCTGTTAAATCAGAAGCTCAGTTCAGCCTTCAGCAAATTAATTCTCCAGTAATTCTAATTTATCAGAAAAAGATAAAGAAAATAAAGTAAGACATTATGTGAAATAATAAAAGGCTATAATGAGAAGCCATAAACATTTTGGATGGATTCTCTATGTTTCCGTAATGGGTTTGGATCAAATTCTTCAGACCTTACACAGGTAAAGAAAGGTTGGAAAGCATGTCTGAGATTTTGATTAAACAGGGAAACGAGGGGCTGCCTATATTTTTTCCTGGCAATAAGAATTGACAGTATTAGAAGCTAAATGGAAGAAATTTAGACAAAGATTTTTTAGAGCTCAGAAAAAAGACAGGAGGTAAAGCCAGAACATACCACAATGATTATCTGTTATGACTGTTTCTTCAGAGGAGTTTTCTTTTCACCTGCTAGGTCCGTGGAAGATGGGGAACGGCCCTTTGCACTAGGAATGCAGTTTGTTTTGTTACGAACTCTTGGTAAGTCTTACAGTTGCTCAGCATTTCCATAAAGGCTCACCATGCTTGTCTTAAATGTACAATAAAAGTACTAAAATTCCATAAATCTGCAACTGATTGCCTGACTAATTGTATTAGGAACTTAAAATTAATAGCTTCTGAAAATGTTGTAGCTGAGAATGTATTTCATTTTTTTTTGTTACTGACTTTCTAGAACAATGTTTTTGACCCAGAAAGAGATATTTTTACGGTTTCAAATTTTATTTAAAAATTAAGTTACCAAATATTATTTGACAAGGCTTTTTTCTTTTTTAGAAACAGATTTTTATGGCTTTCAGCAATAACAATAGCTTTTGCATTGTTAAAATAAGAAGCAGTTGTTACTTAATATCTGATTTCAAATGTTTCAAAGCAAAAAGGGTACATGTTGAAAGTCTTTATTCCATGAAGTAGTTTCTTTCAAGCTCTTGAACTTCTAAAATCCTGCCTATAAAGAAGGCTCTAGGCCTTCAGCTACTACAAGACATATGACTAGAGCAAGCAAGGACTATTCTAAGAGAATAAGACATCCATATAGCTGCATCTGCAAGTTTTCTTTGAGGAATGGTGTTTCTGACTTGTCTTAAAGGTGTCATACTTCTGGAGAAAGCAGGAGCATTCAATGAGGCTCCATTTCTAGCACCCTTAGGAGTTAAAGTCTGTTTCTGAGGCAGATCTATTCAAAAGAAAATGTACAATTTCAGTAGTCTCACCACTTCCATCCATCTTCAGTGTGAGAAATATCTTGCGGTCTTTGGAGGTTTTTCTCCTTATTCTAAAGCAGCAACCCCTGCCCTTTACTAGCTCATGGGCAATGGATGGTCAGCAAGTAACACTCTGGAGAGAACGTATTTTGTACGTTATTTTGTTCCGGTCCCATTTCTTATTTCCTGAGAGCAACACTGGATTTTATTTTGAGGGGCACATGGTTCAAGAAGAGCTGTCTGGGAACAGCAGATTGAAGCAGTACCTTTGTAAGGTGCTGCTGCATCTTCTTCTTCGCTTAAATTCTTTCTCATTTGTGGTACATTTCATGTGTGGGATAAGATCAGCTGACCAGTTTTCCATGTTTTATGTGAGAACAGTGGTGTAGAAATTTCAACAATTCTCCACCTACCCTGTTTGGCTAAGGCATATAGTTTCTTTAGAAGTTTTCCACTATATGCTAACACATATTATCTCTGTTGCTATTTTTATTTCAGCTTACATTCCCACTCCAATTTATTTTGGGGCTGTTATTGACACCACGTGCATGCTTTGGCAACAGGATTGCGGTGTTCAAGGATCTTGTTGGGAATACGATGTCACCTCGTTTCGTTTTGTCTACTTTGGGTTGGCAGCTGCACTCAAGTTCGTGGGATTCTTTTTTATTTTCCTGGCCTGGTATTCCATTAAGTGTAAAGAAGAGCAACTGCGGAGACATAGATGGAGGGCTTCACTGGTGAACACTGTGAGTGAGATGGTTGGCCAAGCTGGACCCCAACAAAACTATGCACGGACTAGATCCTGCCCTACCTTCAGTTCCCGAGGAGACATCAGTGTGGCACAAGGAATGAACTGTGTAGCACAGACATACCCCAGCCCTTTTTCAGAAGCAATAAATTCCTCAAATGAAAATGCATTGGAAGAAGTCACTGCTGAGATATAGACCCTGGCTTGGTAATGTAATATTTGGTTTTGTTGGTTGACTCAATTACGGCGCCTTGTAAAACACCTGTGCCTTCTATTTTTAATCTAAATGTAACACGTGATAAAATCAACAAAGCTTAATGCAACCATGATATGTTCCTGAGGGCTGGATACCTCAAACCAACCCAGGTTCTTATTTCTCCCCTCCCAACAATGCAGTTTTAAAAATTGTGTTTGAATTATTTCAGATGTGTCCGTTAAATGTTCATGCTCTGATGTAATATCAATGTAAGGATGAGGTATTATGAACAGCCGAAGTCAGAGGAAGAGTGACAAAAACTTGTATCGTTGATGTCTAGATGTCACAAAAATGCTTAAGTGTATCATCAACTTCATAGCTGCAAATTGTATTTTTAAGAGATGAGTAATTACTGTGAGTTCTGCTACAAAGCACAACTGAACTTATTTAAACTATGCAACTTATTTGGATAACTGTATGTGCAGCAAATTAAGTTTAAAGTTTGCTTTTAAAGACATTACTGCAACGGAATCTGAAAGGGGCTATTTTGAGACATAAGCATTAAATGAAAAATGAACATAAGGTTTACAGTACTGTTAATAACACGTTGATCCATACAAAAGTTATGCATCAGGTAATGTTTGCAGATGTTGAGTCATAATATCTTTATCCTGTCAAAATGTGCATTAATTTTCATTTGATGAGATGTAGTCATTCTTCACGAAGTACACAGGCTAGGAAAGTATAAGGCTTACAGTGAAAAACTTCAGTATTAATTTATAGTAACATTAAGATGTAGGAATCATACACATGTACTAGAGCAGACGTGCATATTTCTGTAATGTTATTTGGGTGGCTGTTACTAGCGCCAATTCCATACTTTTCACGAAGAAGAAAATACCCAGTTATAGCTTGATAGGAAGAGTCTGTCTGTCATTTAGAAATGAGGGCCGGTCTAGTTCAGCTTCTGTGAAAGCATCTTGAGGGAGAGCTGGCGGCCTCGTTTTGTGTCTGAGTGCGCATCTGGGACCCAGTGGGTCCCTCACGGCCGGTGATGGTGCGGTATTGGTGCTGGTGCTGCTTGCAGGAATGAGCAGAGAGACCCTTCAAGTGGGCTGCAGACAGCCTGTCCACCACAGTGCCTGGTATGAGGCTTTCCTCTCTATTCCTGGCACCGCTGGGGTGCTGTGCTCCCTGCCGCCGAGGGCAGCTGGGGAGGCGATGCCAGCTCAGACCCTGGGTCCCTCTCCTTTCTGCTCAACTTCTGCTTCTCCTGCTGCCTGGTGCTGGGCAGGCTGGTGGGACAGGCCTGGAGGTCCTAGTTATACGGTATGTCCCACATGTGGCCACTTTCCTTTTCTCAGCTTCATTGAAAGCTCCTGTGAAGGCAAAGGGCAAGTCATCTCTCCTTTGCCCTTCCAGGGGAAGAGCTAAGAACAGAAATTGTTTGCAAGTGTGGACCCACGGGACGTGATGTGGCCTTTGCTTGTTCCAAATTACTGTAGTGTGTTTTCTCCACCAGAGATGCTGAGACTTACTCATCAAACGTACTTGGCATTTCATTTCTTGCTCTGGAGGCTTTGTAGTGCCACGCTTATGATGTCTCAAAGGGCAGAGAATGATTTCAGGTGGACACTAGGAAGTCAAAGCTGTACTTTGCCCTGCAGGGAAGGTCTTAGAAGTTTAGGAAATTACAAGCACTCTTTTGAGAGGACCCAGTGATAGTTAGGTTTGGATTTTGCCATGTAGAGAGCTTGCCTGAAAATAAACAGAATAGAGCAGAACTTCTACGTATCTTCGAACAGAGTTATTCTTGATTTAATTTTTAATTTATAATATATAACTTGATCAAACATTGTATGGAACCAAGTCCTGGAAATAAAAGGCGGTACTCTCCTTGGCATCCATTGCGTTGTCCTGGGAAGAGTAGATTTCCCTTTCCTTTGCCAGCTGCCTTTCCTCGTCAACTGGCTGTTCTTGATCAGCACATGGGACTACCCACAGGCTGGTTCCTCTGCCTGAAATGGTGTCTGCTTATTTCAGAATGTCTCAGTCCACTTATGTGGCTTGTAACAGTTCCCACTCTCTGCAAATTCGGATGCTTCTACCCCAAAAACTACAACATAGAAGAATATCGTTTTAATCATGTCCTGCTATTCTGTACATATTAATAGCCTTTTTGGGGTCAAGCCTGAGAATTACTTTTTTCCCTTGTGAAGCCACCAGGTGCAATACATCCTCAGTCAGCACGTGCCACCTGAGACATTAGCTTTTACACTTCTCATCCTTGGCTCAAAGGTCTTGGGTATTTTTTTTTGCCATAGGAGATCAGAATAAATGACAAAAGTGTCTCCTTTTGCTCCAGTCTCAAATGCTTCTTGCACCAGGAATTTCCTGCCGTGGCAAAAATTGAGGCAAAGTATAATTGCAACCTAGCACCCATCCATTTTAATTGGCATGGGGTGAGGTGAAGAGTGACAATCTTTTCAAATACCTCAGAAACAGAGCATTTAGGGACTTGTCAAAGGCTGGAGATGAATCATCTATCCTGATCTTCTCTGTTCATGCCTTGTGTGCACTTCTGTTCCACATGAATAACAAGGGAAAGCAAATTAGGCTTGTAGGATTGTCAGGAGCTGACACTGATGGCAGAGAATGAGAGTGATAGAAGTGACACATTTGCAACTGCTGCCACTTCTGAGCTGATTTCAAGGGAATTCAGAGCTTGTTGGAATGGAAACTACCTGATTTTTTAGGAAATCCTGACAGTTCAACTTCTAAAAATACTAATTTTTTGAAATGTTTGAGAAACTGGAATGTAGAAAGAAAGATGTTCACTTTGGAAATACTGAAAAAGTCTTGTTTACATACTTTGAATAGCCTTTTCATTTTCTTTTCAAATTTATATGGAAACCAAAAAGTAATTTGTTACTTTAAAAAAAATTTATTAGTGTTTTTGGATTTTGACAATATGAATATATTTCTACAAAGTCGCTTAATTAAATCAGCATCCTCTGAAAGAAATAAAACCCAAACTCTGGCCAGTTTTTGATTAATTCCTGAAGGAGGCTTTATTGTGAGTAAGCTTAACAGTCTAAACTAAGCCAATAAAGGCACACAGGGGAAACACATTAACTTCCTAGAGACATCAGTTCCAACATTATCAACATTGACTGAAATATGGACTGAGACCTGCTGAACAAACACTGTTTTCTGAGGTTGTCGTTGCTGAAGCAATCAGACTCACCAGAGGAATTGTGTGCATCCTCAGCAGTAGTCATGATCCATGTGTGGTGCTAAACTGACTCACAAGAATTAAAAAGGAGCTTGCTCTGTCACCCAGTGAAGGTGGCCATACTGACTTCCTGCTGTGAAAACCTCTGACCATAGACTATAAAGTTCCAGTAACTTGTAATTTCTGCCACCTTCCCTCTCTACCCCCAAACACTGAAGTGTGGTTAGAAGCGTGCACAAGAAAAGGTAAAGCAGGGGTCTGGTCACCCACTGGCTGCTGTTGGTAGCAAACCCAAGTCATCTACCTGCAGTTAACCAGCCAAGGATAATGTGGAGCAATGACACCCGTCCACAAAGTGCCATCGTGCCATCACAAGAACAGACTAATTTCCTCTTACACTGCTTATTCCTCATTCAGAACAAGGGACATGAGAGAAGTAGCCCCAATGTATGGACTTGACTGAGCAGGTAATCGTCCCCGCTTAGCCTCATTCTTGTTTCCTCAAAAAGGGGGAACCTTCAGAAAGGGCGTAGCCATGGCCTTGGGTGCCTATGAGTGCAGCACCCTCAGGAGATGGTACATAGAGCTTTTGGGGGGCTGGGATGTCTGGAGACTCTGTATTTCCAGTTCTAGGCAAAAGTGCTGTGAGTTTGGTCCCCCTTTTTCCCCCATGAGCATACTGGATATAGTACGGTATAATTTGGAATTGGTGGCATTTTATATCCTTTCAGTACAGTGTGAGCAGCTGCAAGAGACATATTGAATATTATGGTGCAATTTATATTTAATTGGAAACTTTCAGTTCTTTGACCAGCCTTTTTCTCTTTAAGAGTGCATGAATTAACATGCAGTTCCTCAGAACTTGCTGTTCTCTAAGTGAAGCAGGGGCAACAAATCTCCTCCTAGGTATTAAAAATGTAAGTTTGAAAGCCCCTAAATTAGTTACAAACACTTGAATGTAGTGTTTTCAAAAATACATATTATTTTTTAAAAAATATAGCTTGTCAGTTCATAGCATTAACCATTCATTATGTCTCTGATCCAGCAGAACACTTAAATATGTGTAAGTTTATATAGTTAAGTAATGTGCTTAAAAATAATGCATGTATGTAAGTATTGGACTGAATCTCATGCATTCAAAAAGGAGTTCTTTTACGCAAAGCGTAATTTCCATGCTGAGATTTTATCCTCATGGATTCAGTGATCGTTGTTACCAGAATAGCACACAGTAGCATTCCAATACTCACTCCCTGTGGCATTCACGTGTGGCTACTTACGTATCTGGCCATGGAGGAAAGCTTTCGTTTTCAAATAGAATTCAAATTCAAAGTATTTTGTGGACATGCTCAAAGATACATTCTAGCTCTTCCTGCCATTCACTTATTTTATTAATTTCTGGCTGAAAATCTGTGTTACATGGGGAGATAGATTGAGGGCGTCTTTCTGACCTTAAAGCCAATGAAATTGCTTAAGGAATGCTGTAGGTTGGGATTGTGCCCTTTTGCAGAATTTGGACCTAGAGGTTCAGATAGCAAATTTTCAGCGTCCTGCACAAATGGAGCAGAGCACTACTTGCTCTGTGTAACTCCAGACAGCATGGCTGGGAGAGAGGTCAGCAGCTTCTGTAATGTTCTTGTGGGTTTTTCCCCCAAATGCCTGATTTATTGCTGCCTTACTACGCTTCCTGTGTGTGTAATACCACAGCTCTCTGTGATGTTATATTGACATAAAACTAATGATAATAAATAGGTCCAATGTGTCTTACTGCTATTTTGGAGCCAGATTCTCAGACTCATCAGTCTGATGATGAGGCTGAAGAACTGGGCCAGTACCTTGGGTTGGACATTAACAAGCTGGCGCTTTAGCAAGTGAGTGCAAACTAAGTGATACCAAGTGCTCATTTAGCTTTTATACTGTTCACTGGTTACTACTACTGTTTTTGGA